ATCGCTAATAGGTTGGACGCCACTACTATTTGGTTGGAGGCCATCGCTATTAGGACGGGGGCCATCTGTAATAGGTTGGAGGCCGTTGCTATTAGGTCGGAGGCCATCGCTATATAGTAGGTGGAGGCATGGGAGCCACTTTCAGCTTGACAAAACAGTCGTTTGGGCAACCCCAGAGTCTTTGCAGCAAAGTTCGCTTCCGCACTGTCCTGCAAGTAATCCATTAGTAATTTACCTTGCTTACCGTCCTTATTTCATTCCGGTCTCAGGAGACACCGTGAGGTCTGGAGTTGCTTGTTTCTGCCGGGGAACAGCCTTTGAGTGAGCTGCCGGACCGGTGCAAGCATGCGAATCAAATGATAAATCATGTGAATCATGTCTATTGAGTCTACTGGCAAATTCATAGAAATGGATTGCTTCCAAAGCAGGTCAGTCCAACGACAAGTTTTGTTTACCAATCAAACCGGTTGTGCTTGTGTGTGTGAACCCTTTGCTCATGAGATTCAAGACCCTTTGCTCCTCCCATTTTGATTTGCTGCCAGGTAGTGGCGCCAGCGGCCTCAAAACTGCACCAATACAAGCTCCAAACCCATGTGTCCTCCTCTGTTCCTCTTTCTTGCTTTGATTTTTCTTGCCCGCGTTGCCCTCACCCTTGCTTAGTTAAGTAGGCGCCTGCCGCTACTACCTACTGGACGCAGGATAGTTCGCGCTTCTTCAAGGAAGCTCCCTCCATCTAGGGCGGCAGCTATTCATTTGGTTCCAAAACTTTAGAAATGAAACTGAGAGAAGTTTCACTTGGAGACTTGCAAGGGTTAAGAAGTTGAGAGATGTGCTAGCTCCAGCTTCCAAGGGCGGAACAGCAACAGCGCTTGCCAAAAGGTTAAGAACACAATCATCTTGACACCTGAAATGGTCAGATCGAGCTACAAACAACAGGTTAAGTGCTGCTCACAAAGCACTTCCATTCCAGAGAGGCTCGATGACTGTGGCCCACACTTGCAAACTTCAACAAAGGTCGCTTCGATTGCAAAGCCTGCAAGCTTGAGAAAATGTGATCCTGCCATATTGGGAAACTTGAGAGAGGAGGGGGGTGAACGAAAGGTAGCAGGGAATCAGGCGTAATCCGGGAGGAGGTGAGAGGCCCCCCACTTGTTTGAAGAGAAGTGAGTGAGCGTGATGAAAGAACAACTAATGCACAAACGCTTGACAAAACCTCCAGAAGCTGTAGCGGTCTAGCGGTTTCAATACAGGTTGACGTGCCTTCAAAAGGAGTCACATATTTCTCAAATGCAACTTCGGATTTACATAGTGACGTGCGGCGACCCTTTAAATTGCGTGGCCGCAGGCCATGCTTGCAAACAGGACGTGCTCAAAAACACTGGTATTTACGAGGTTTCGTTGCCGTCGATCCACAGCCGCGGCAAGGTCTAAGGCCACGCTTGAAGACAGGAGGAGCTGAAAACACTGGTATTTACAGTATTTTGTAGCCGTCGATCCAAAGGCGCACCACGGTTGAGCGCTGGAAAAGCGCAGAAAACCGTGTAAATACCGGCGTTTTCTGCCGGGAAGGTGCACAAAACCCTGTAAATACCATAGTTTTTGTGCAATTTTGAAGCCTCCAAAAGCCTCAAAAACCCTTTCTGACAAAATCTTTCCTGGTTTTTGGTCTTTTTTTGGTCATTTTTCTAGCCGAGGCGCATCAAAAACCATCGGTTTTTGCGGTGTTTTTTGCCGGACAGCCACAAAAAACGCTGTAAATTCCATGATTTTTGGTCACTGCTGAGGACTGGAAGAGCTGAAAACACTGATATTTACAGTGTTTTTGAACGGTTGACCCCGAGGCGCGCTAGGGTGGAGTTGAAAGGGGGGGGGGGGCCCCCCTGAAAAGTAGAGCCTACCTGTACAGGGTTCCACTCCAACAGCTGATATAGTGTGTCCATGCTTGACTGCTTCAAGGCTCAAAGAGCAAGAGGATAAGACTCTGCGCATAAAAGACACTAGCGGTCTGCACCTCTACCGTGTACGCCCTAGTCACTCTTTCAGTGGTAGCGGAGCTGTGATCCTGGAAGACCCAGGTGAGCTCCTTTCCTAGGCATAGAATTGCTTGTGGGCAAACGGCCATGGATTGGATTGACGACTGGGAAGAGCCTGATGCGGATGTGGCTTATGAGCCAGCAGCCTATGTGAATAGGCATGTGAGAAGAGAACCAGCAGCGATAGCTATGACAACACAGGTCACTACAAAGGTGCCCCCATCTTATGATGGAAAGACTTCATGGTTTTCCTATGAGGATGCCATAGACGATTGGTGTGATATCACCGAGCTGGAAGATGAGAAGAGAGGACCAGCATTGAGAAACAGATTAGAAGGAGAAGCAGCTGTATACAAGCGTGTTTTAGACAGAGATGCATTGAAGGCAAATGATCCACCAGGAGCCGGCGTAGAATATTTCAAACGAGTACTACGACCATATTTCGTGAAAGGATCAACCAATGTATTCCTGTATAGGTTCATGCAATTCGTGCGCTTCAATCGAGGATCAGCTGACATGATGAAATGGATGACAAGATTCCAGATTTTACTCCAAAGGCTTATGAGCAGTTGGATGGACATGTTAGAACCAGTCACTCAAGCACATCCACAAGTCCTAGCTCAGATGCAGGCAGATGCAGCATTGACTGGAACAGCACCAACGGCAGAAAGGATTCAGGAAATCATGCAGACCATCAATGGCAACATGAGGACCTTTCATCAGAACGAATTTCCTCTAGGAGAAAATCTCATTGCCTTACTCATGCTGTCACTTGCAGATTTGTCTCAGGACCAGCGAAACACTTTGACTTCATTGATGACTCATCGTGGCAGGGTCCTGCAGCAGTATACTACAACAGAGTTGAGGACAGTGTTCATCGAGATGTTCTGCACAACAAGGACTTCAGTAGACAATCCTTTGATGCAGCCGACAGGTGCTGGAGGTAGAAGATCATTTCTCGTACTAGACGAAGGAGAACTCGATGGTACATTTGGCTATTGGGCCGAAGATGAAGAAGATGGAACTGAAGGATTTTTAGATGCCCTGGACGATGTCTTTTGGGTATATGATGATCAAAACTTCTCGTGGTTCCAAAGGAGATTCCAAGGAAGAAGAGCCAGAAAAGGCAAAGGAAAAGGAAGAAGAAAAGGAAAAGGAAAAGGAAGATCAGGCCGCAGATTCTTCAGACCTCGTGGAAAAGGAAAAGGAAAGAGACGAGGTAAAGGCCATTTTGCTGATGAGCAACAGACAACATATCCAGAAGAGTACTTTGAAGAGAATCCTTATGAGGATACTTGGGAGTCAAACCAAGTAGCATATGATGCCATTCTTGCCGAAGATATGAATGACTATCTTCAAGGAGAATATGATGATGCCAATGACTTTTGGCAACAGCTTGAAGAAGCATGGTTTTCCCACAAAGGAAAAGGAAAAGGCAAGAGAAAAGGCAAGAAAGGAAAAGGAAAAGATAAAGGAGATGGCAAACAAGATGCAAACTATGCAAATCAACAACAGCCACGTTCTTTACCTGCACCTTCAAGAACTTCACAAGCATCAGGAGGTCAACAAGGTTTCTTTGCACATTGTGTGACAGCAGCAGCTGAAGTCCATGACAGTGAGGTGGACTTGCTGTCAGGCATGATGACCTCATGTCAAGATGAAGCTGACTGCGCGGTCAACAATGGTGAGACGATCTTCAATGGCATGAGTGCCCCTGTGAGGTACTCTTTGTCAAAGGAGATGCTCACAAAGGCTCCTGATGGCTTTGTGCTTATGAGCGCTGAGGAAGAAGTGAAGGAGATGCAGGCCATTTCATTTTTGACTGAGAATCGCTTCCCGCCGACTATTGCAATCCTGGACATTGGATGCACTAGAGCTATGGGATCAAGGCGAGCAGTCGACCATTTTTGCAACTATGTCGACAATCACCCAGATTGTGGATTATGGTACTCCTTTGAGGCTACCAAGAGCAAGTTTTACTTTGCCAATTCCCAGAAGGCTACTTGCTCTCAGAAACTGGTGATTTACATGTATGATCGTGCATGGACGATCCACCATACAGAGTTCGACATCGTGGAAGAAGGAGAAGTCCCTTTGCTTATGAGCTTGCCACAGATGAGGAACTTAGGCTTTGAACTCAGGCTGACACCTCAACATGCTTATCTGACATCGGTGCCTCTTGGTATCAAATATTTGGAGTTGAAGGTTGCAGCCAGTACTCATCTTGTCTTGGACTTCCAAGATATTGCATGGTATCTGTCTGACGTAAATTTGCAGACTCGGCGCGAGAAGAGTTTTTACTCTCACTTCACTCACTATGAGTATGGTCATATTTCTGTTGACCTCAATAGTGATGAAGATGTAGCTGAACATGCATATCCTGTGGTTGACTACTGGGAAGTAGATGTTCACAAGAGAGAACTGATACGTCACCACAAGGATTATAGAAAGATTCTTTTCCCAGCAACTAAGTCCTGTCCTGTAGACACTGACTTACTGGAAGACTTGCGACTGACAATCATCAAGAAGAAGAAAGGAGGAGAAGAAATCAAGAAGACAGATGATTGGCGCAAGGCAAAATGGAAGGACCTACAACTTGGCTATGAATGGCGTGGTAGAACAATTTTTAAATTTAAGCCAGATGCCAAAATTCCAGATCTAAAGATCAGGAAGGCTGGCATTGAGCACCGTGGCATTGGTGATCCCGATGCAGTGGTGCGCTCCTCCTCAGAGAAGGTTCCCATTGCAAAGGACAGGGAACCAGGCTTCTCGTCAGAGAAGGAAGGTGCACCAGCCAGTGCCGCGGAAAAGCCCGCGCCGCCAAAATTCCGGTATACTTCCAAGGGTTTTGATCCATTTTGGAAAGGACACAAGTCGAAACCATCTGAGCCTCAGAATGATTTAAAGGGTGATGATCTTGAGGAGTATGCTCCTTCAGAACCACCTGAGAGGCCAGAAGGTGAACTTGTAGAAATTCCTAAAGCATCAAAAGGACCATCAAGTGATAAACATGAACCACTTGAACCAGGTGATGGCGCTCTTGAGCCTAGGCGGATTTCAATCCCATTACCTGGTAGTGAAGTTGTTGCAATGACACCGGCATATAGGAAGATGTTACAGAGACTGGAGGACAAGGTAGAGCTTTATAAGCTTCATGTGAAGCACTACCATATGAGTCCTACTCAGTTTCGTAGACGTGTTTCTATGTTGAAGCTTCCTGACTCTGTTTTAGAGAAGTATGAATCAGTTGTCAGGAACTGCCGTGTTTGTAACACTTCAGTGGCACCTCCGCCACGAGCCAGAGTCTCCGGTATTAGAGCTTCATGTTTTGGTGATGTTGTTTTTGCTGATCATTGTGAGGTTGAACTTCACAAGAACAAGTATATCATTCTACTTGTTCTTGATGGTGCCACAAATCTTCTCTGGGCTACGGCACAGAAAGACCTCATAGATCAAACCACCATCCAAGCATTGAGGCAATGGTCTGATGAGAACAACTGTGTTCCAAAGGCCATCGTAGGAGACGAAGCCTTTTTCACCGATGCTTTTGTTGAATACTACAGGTTCCATGGTATACAACAATGTCCTTGTGGGCCAAGAACTCCTTGGCCGAACCGAGCAGAGACAGCTGTACGTTTGTTCAAACGTATGTGGCATGTTATGAAGGTAGATCTGGATGACCCACGTTTTCGTGGTGTTACGGTCAGAGAAGTGGTCAAGAAGGTAGTTTGGGCAAGAAATTGTCAGTTGACTATCAGTGGATATTCACCAATAGAGATAGCAACTGGAAGACGTCCACCAGATCTTTTTGACCTTGAGACCGCAAGCCCTGAGCAATTGTCAGCTAATGCCGCCGCACAAGATCGTACAAATTTGGAACTACAACGTGTGGCTTTGAGAGCTCATCAAGAAGCACGACAAGCTCAGGACCTTCGAGCAGATCTTGCGAGAAGGACTATGCCAAGTGACGGTCCTTATTTCCAAGGAGAGAAGGTTTTTG